GTCATACTGAATTTTAACTCTTTGCACTCCTACTACCAGTCTGGCAGGCATAACAAGTAAAGACGATCTACTCTAACTACCAGTTCTACAATAGTTCTGGCAACATTTTATTCTGTAATTATTTCTGGTTAAAATATGAATTTATAGCTGATAGCGTTACTTTTTTAACATTAGACATGTTCTCTTTCTGTTCTTTGTTGTTTTGTATGCATTTGCGATTATTAACGGTTAATATTTTTTCAAATTGAGCTGGTCCTGGAAGAAAAAGGACAACTTTCTGTTGTGATACATGTACAAGAAAACCCGGTCTACAAATAGGCGACGGTTTTATGAATTATCACACTAGAAAAGTTTATAAGAAATAAATTATTATTTTGCTAAATGAATTTACCCTAATATACGAATAAATTTTTATATTATTAATCAATATTTAAATAAGTTAGAGACGTTCAATACACTTCTACAAAAACTTCATCAAAATGGTCTTTTTCCGTTTATGTTATAAAAAAAATGTCAACCAAATTAAATATTTTGAATTTGAATTTATTTTTAGATACATTCAAGTTATCTAAGGTTTTGAGTTAAATCTCGTTGATAAAAAATCATTTTTCCAAAAACTGCAGCATTTTTTTCAAAGCATTGTGATTACAAAATATTTCCTAAAAGTGCTTGGAGTTGTCTACCAACAGGCGCAAAAAATGCACGAAGCGCAAAGAGTTAAAAAGACTCTGAACTATTTCAGTACAAATACACACGTATTATGTAAATCTTTTGATAGTAAGTGTTTTTTTTTCCTAATGTTTTCCCTTATTTCATATTATTTGGCTGACATTTTTACAATGTAAACGCATTTAAGGGTAAATTTTATTTAAATTGTATTTTTAATATTAATATTGCATCACTTTGGGCTTCTGCTTTCCTCTGTGAAAATTTTGTTATGTACTCAATTTTTTGTTAAGTTTGTTTTCCTAAATAAAAATTTAAGTATTTCAATTAAGTTGGACCAAACATCCTCGTAAATCCTTAGTTCAAATTTTCGTTGTTTTTTAAATAATTGAACAGACTGAAATTTACAAATTCATTTTCAGAAAAAAACTTTTGGAAATTTTATTTTGAATGTCACAAAAAGAAATTAATTACTCACTATAGATAAATATTTGTCTTATTTTAGTTTTGGAGGTATTTAGTAAAAAATTTAATACGATACTAATGCATGAAGCTATCGAAAATTATATTAGAAAAAATTTATAATAGAAATATTGGAAATATTGCTTCAAGTTAGCGCAGTCAACTTGTAATATAAAAGGACAATTAAGATCCTTTTTAGTGTAGTTTATTCCTTTTTAGTGTAGTGAAAAGTGTAGCTACAAAAAAGCAAGACAAGTGGAAACTCTAAAACTTAATCATTTTTGGGAAATTTCAATTCTTTTTTTTTTGCAAAATTAATTGTTTTACATATTGTGATTTAGTCACATGTGCAATAATTCTTTAAAAATTTAAATTCTGTACGTCCTCAGTAATTTGTTGTAATTTACTCTATGTATTTTTAAAAATCTAATGTAAATTGTACAATTATTAAAATTTTCTCTCAGTAGTTAAAATATCACAGAATAATAATAAATCGGTTAAATTTTCTTTGAACTGAAAGATGTTAAATTCTACGGTATTTGAGAGCGGTTTCTTTAAAATCTATTTTAAATTAATATTAATTTATTACGACACTAATACATATTTTTAATAATATTATAAAAAAAAAAATTATTTCTTATTTATTCTCTTTTTTTTTATAAATTTCATATTATTTTCACTTTATTGAAGCTTCAGATGTCGTTTTTGACATTTGAACATCATCGACTTTGTGTGTGTTCCTGTCTTGTCATTTTCATTTAGTATATTACTTGCATAACGTTGAAGCAAAAAAATAATCAAGAGAAAATATAAAGAAAAATTTAAAAAATATAGGAAAAATAAAAAAACAATACAAAATATCGTATATGAAAGAAAACTTGAAAATTTCCTTTTAATAAGCTGAAAACTGAAATATTAAACTTAACTAACAATATAAACATACACGTACACACTTATATACGTAATAGTTATTATAATGTATGAAATAACAATCGTCTTTTCCTTATAAATATTGAATATGCATTCTTTACAGTCTTCGTTGATTGCCAACAAAGGCACGAGTGTATTTTATATTCCAATACTATCCCATATATGTACGTGTATACTTATGTATCGCACAAAGATTATGAGTTGTATACTTGCTTAACAATATATTATTAACATTGTTAACATATTTATACACTTCTTACGTACATACGCACTTTAGATATTTTTACTAATAATCTTTCCTTTTTATCTCCTTTACTATACATTCTCTTATCTTTTTATTTATATAAATACAAGAAAATAAAAAAAAACGAAATGAGAAGAAAAACACAGCCATTGAATAGCAAGCATTTGTTACAATTCACTAATCACACGCAATATGGTGGCAGTGGCAGCACTTAACTATGTAAAAATTTATAAAAATGCAACACATTGCGGTGGATCAGTTAAATTCAATTGACATGCAACGATAATCATTCGAAATTTAAAAAAAAAAACTGTCTATATTCATACAAACAAACAAACATAACTTTATGTGAATGTGCTATTAAAAATTATACATATATGCATACATATTTTTTTACATTTTAAAGAATGAAAAATAAATTAAAAATTTAGACAAATTATGATGGTCCTTTATATTTATTTCTTTTTTTTTTCAATATCCAATATGTTTGTATAATTGTATAACAGAAAATTGACATTTTCAAAGAAAATATTAAAAAAAATGCTAAAGATACAAAATTCACAAATTTTAATTTTATTATATAATTGCGTTTCATTTCGGCACACGTCTACCATCTGGTGCGTGATAATTGCAAAACTATATCATCGGTATATGTATGTATAAAAATTTGTAAAAATTGTTTTGATATGGTTTGTCTGATATTAAAAATTAAGTTTATAATGTCGTATAGATTCTCATAATGTCATATATTTCGTATACGAGACTTAGCGAAACCGATCAGATTTAGCGAAATAACATAAAACTGTCACTCAAAGTTTTCACCAATATTCGAAAAATTTTTAATATTTTCTAATAATGTTGAATTTAGCTTTTTTTTAATAAATACTTTTAAAAATTTTAGTAAATTAAATAATTACACTAAAAAACAGCCAAAGTTAAAAACAGCGAGAGGCGAAAATCTTTCATTGTCGAATTAAGTCTGTCAAAAAGTGAAGAACGCAATTAAACTTATAACTAAGCAAGAAATTTGGAATTACTTCAGCATTTTTGCGATAACATACCGAAATTCTCACTGGTTTTCATTCTAGGTTGCTCGTTTTCGTTTAAAGTAGTTGACGTATTCCTTTAAATTGACAAAGTCGACATCTCGGTACATCATTATTTGTAACTTTTAAAACATATAAGATTCTGTTCTTAGAATTGTTTACTTCTGATTATCAAAAAATTGATATCTCATTCTTAAATATTTTTAATTGATAAGCTTATTTTGTCAAGCTCAAACTGCAAAAAATGAAGGCATATTACTCGTATATTAAACAAGTGACTTGATTTCATCAAGTGCGACGTGTAAGAATTTTAAAAAGCTTAAATCGAATATTTTTTAATTAAACAATATTTTTTACATATGTATGTATAATTATATTTAATTTCATTTTAATTGTAGGCTATTTAAATGTTACGTTTAAAAATTAAATTACAATAATTTAATTTAGCTTACATTGTATTATAAATACATAGTTCGTAATAACATATGTTACCATAAATTTATAATTAAAATCCTCTTTTGATATATTAGCGTTTTGTTTTCGAAATGAAGAAATTTAATAACTCAGGGAACGCAAAAAAATTGTTTAAATATTAACAAAACCTTGACGAAATGCGATTGCACATGCAATTTTTAAACTTATAATGAAAGTTAATTGGATAAACAATGAAGAAATTCTACAATTAAGACACGTTCATTAAAACTTACTAAGCATATAAGAACATTTGCAAAAGAATTTGGTCAGGAAGAAGCTATATCTTCTAAGATTGTATGAATTGTTTTTGTATGTTTTTTTCTAGAGTCGAATTTTATGACTATATTTTATGATCTATAGCCATGTCTAATTGGTCGTATGTCTTTCAGGCGCTTATTTTTTAGGTAAACATTATTTCAGTAGACACAAAATTTTTTTTTAAATTTGTGCTAACTGAAAAGAATTACGACTTTCTGAAACAATTTGGTTTTATTTGGCTAGGATTCCCTACCCCTATAATATTCTTAAATAATTATGGTATAAATATGGTCGTAAGCATATTGTTCTTAATAAGTTTTCGAAGTGATCTACAATTCTATGAGATGTTTAACAATGGGTCCAATATATATGAGGTTCTGGAAAAGGTGCTAAATAATATATTTTTATTTGTATTCCGGTTATTTCAATAAAGAAAGTGTACAATATTTGAATTTCGATAAGGTAAATTTAATAATTAAAGCATTTCGTAGTAAAGCGGAAATATTTGTAATGATGTGGCGATAACTAAATGTTGTATTAGTCTGTTTTTGCTTTCTTGTCCTGTAGATGTAAATTCATGTACATATTATTTGACAATACTGTTCAATAATCAAATAATTTTTTTGTCCCCTTTTTTCATATTGTATTTGCCTACAGGTATGCAACAATATACGTTCATTTAAATGATTGATAATGTCATTTTCCTACAAATAGTTAGTCAAGTTTACTATTAGCACCTCCTCTAATCGTTTAAATTACATATATACATAGGTTAATTTTTATAAATAACTTTGCCAATTGTTTTGATACCCTAATTTAAATTTTTTTAAAAGTGAACGACTTTAAAATAGACTGTTATAATCGCCAAGTATGAGCATTAGAGGTTGTATTAAAATTTTTATTAAAAATATTTTACTTACCTCTACCACTTCTTCCAACAAATCTTAAATCATTAAATTTTGCTACACCATTTTTCATAACCGCTGTAAAATTTCTTAATTCAGCACAATAATTTTCATCATTACCGGCTCTAACAGTAACAACAGTACCATCACCAACATCAACAAGTGATACAACTTTAAAGGCAATTGGTAATGTTTTATTTGATCGCCAATGATTTGGTAAACTTGAACATAAAAAATATGGGCTTCCAGTTTTAACTGTAAAAACAAGAAAAAAACATAATTAAAATTTGAGTACACAGCTAGCCCTAATCAAATATTTTTATAACAATTGATAATTGTGATACGTTTTTAATACAATTTGTGATGAAATGATTGATTTAATTTTAATTTTAAAAATATTTGATGTCAAAGACAATATGATGGGTTAAACAAATAATTTGCTATAAATAAATTGTTGGTTCAAGTTTGATTTTGCTAAAATAGTCGGCCGAGTGCTGTGACCGGACGCATGTAAATTCAATCTATAAAGAAACCTTCAAATTTTTGAATTTTTTCTTTTTCTTTTTGTTGTATATGTAAGGAATAGCTGTACAAGGTTGAGCTGGCATTATTTTCAACAAGTTTTTCAATTTTTCTTTTTTTTTTTTGTAAATAAAAAACAAAACAAAAGAATGAAATTTATAATTATTATTGTCCTCTCGCGTAAAGTTTTTTGCTTTATTTTAAAGTATTCGCATATTATCGTAACCATTCTCCAGATCCTGTGGTGTCAAATGACATTTTTTTTTATATTGTTTTAAGAAGAGTATCATTAACAGAATCACTGCCTCTGACACGAATCAATGTAAAACAATACAGAATAATAATATAAAAAAAACAAAAAAATAAGAACAAGAAAGCACGTATAATATCATATAGGTACATATGTATAATTGTACGTAATAGGTATACGAGCCTGAATGCCAAAGAATTGATCGACCTTATGAAATTTTTCGCCAGCTGATAAAAACAATTTGGAGTAGAATGAATTGCTAATGAATTTTCGTGTAGTTTGAACACTTTTATTTCTTAGTTCTAACCTAGTGTCGATATATTGATTGATTTAATGACAAAACAAAAACGCAAAAAATTATTCTTCTAATGCTACACAAGGAATGTCAATTTTCTGGAAGCAAAAGAATGATTTACTATAAGGTTTTATCTTCTTACGCCTAGTTATATAGATTATTCTCCTCTAAGTATTGATGAAACTAATTTTTGGCAGTCATTTCTTATGGAAAAACAACTAATTTATTTATAAATGCTGAGTACTGTTACTGTTCTACTATTCCTTATCTGTATGAGCAACTTCATACTATTACTGAAGTAAGAGGGGTGGTTACGAAATCTGTTTGTTTTTGTCCAATTTAAAAAAAACTCATTAATTAAAATCGTATTGTTATCCAACAAATCTTATTTTTATCCTCAACAATCTTGCTTCTTCAAATTTTATATTTTAAATAAGATTTACTTATTAAATTAATAACTTTCCAATACACAAATTTCGAATATATACTATACAAACAAATTCATGGGCAATTCATTTTACTCCTCATTGTGTTAATCATTAAAATGACGAAAATTTTTAATTGGTGGATCAATATTCTTTTGTGTTGGGGTTCGTATATATACATGACAGTATAAGTTTACGTATAATAATTTTTGGCCTGCAGCTCAAAAATATGCTAAATCAAAAAGAGAAGGCTGAATGTTTTATGATAAGTAAGGAGAAAATTAAGAGAAACAAATAAAGGGAAGATGAAAATTTTTTGGTTTTTATTATTTGTAATTAAATTTCATTCTTAAATTTTATGAAACACAAAAAAAAAAAAAGAAAAAAGTAAAAAGCAAACAGAACACTTGAAACTGGTATACAAATTTTTGCTTTCAGTTTTTCTCTTAAACTGGGTTTTCGTGCACAGAACAAAAACAAGTCAAAAAAAATTGCAAAGAAACAAAAAAAAGGACATCGATACGATGATATAATATGAAGCCTTATTAGTTTATTGACGGTTTATTATTCTCTTCTTTTATTTTTTTCTACTTATATTAGCTTAAGTAATTATTGTTTTACAGTAGAATGCGCTAATTTAACTGATATTTTGAAAAAAAAAAGAAATAATTTTTATAATTTATTAAACAAAATTTTAGAAGCTAGTCATTCCATGTATTTAAAGTAAACTTAAGTGATTTCAAAAATTTTTTCATAGAACTTCATGCAGTCGATTATACCAATGATACTTAAAATAATGAACTTTCCTTTAAAAATTTATAGTTTCATCTGGTCTAATTTATCGAAAATTGTACTGAAATAAAAATATTTTTGTAGAAATAGACTTATAATTTTTTTAAGAATGGGCATTTTTTATACCATATCTGATTATCCTTAAGTTTTTTTAATAGAAGTCGATAAAGTTTATAATGTTGAAGAAATGTCTAAGCAAGAATTGAGATTCTACGGGAATTGTTCAATTTAAGAAAATCTCAAATGACGAACACTCCCGTAATTAGAAATTCGCAGCAGATCCTGGTAACGTTTCAGGGTGGCGTAGCAGGTCTGACGGCGATTTACACGGGATAATAAACGTTGCAGAAGCTTCATGCTAGGCTAAGGTCGCCCTCTAATACATCATATCGCGCACCAACTGGGATTATCTTTATTAATTTTCAACTTTATTTAAGTGCTGATTTTGAACTCAAATAGTAAAAGTGAAATGTGCTTTTTTTAATGAAATTAGTTTGATATAGCACATTTCTAAACTAATAAGGTTACAGTAATAATTATAATTATGTTGAAATATTGGTATTTGCCTTTATGAGAAATTTGTTTACTGCCAATTAACTGGAACTAAATAAATTTTACTTATAAAAGCATGCTAGTATTTCCTAGCTTTTAACATGTCTTCTGAAATTAAAGTATAAGTTTTCAGTGAAATTTGGTTAAAACTTACGTATTGCTGTACAAGTACTTGTACTTATAGCTTTATTTTATAATTTATAATAGATTTTACTACTTCATAAAATCAAGAACAAAATGTATAAAATCGAGCTTTAAAAAGAACAATTTAACATCACCCTTGTTAAGTTTTAATCATAATTGACAAAAATTATAAATAATTGAATTAAGTAATCGTTAAAAAAAATTTTGAGTGATGCGTTGTAGAAATTGAAATTAAGAGTATTTTTAGAAACTTCTTAATGAAACCTAAGTGAATTTTGACTCATTTATCGTTTATTGATAAGTAAATAATATTAGTCATTATATCGTAATATACAATGTTCAATAATTCATTAACATTTTGTGTAAGAATTTAATTTTCGGTAAAAAACTGAAACTATTATAGAAATTTCATTATTTATCAATAAAAATGTGGTAGATCAATTCCATAGCAAATCACAAACGATGTTCTTTTAATATTATATTATTATATCTAGTTGCATATGTTTAGGAGGAAGCTTAAAAGCAGTTTTTAGCACTCTTCCAAAAAAATTTTGAAAAAAAGTGCTTATTAGTTTCACACTGTCCGTCCGTCCGTCCGTCCGTCCGTCCGTCTGTCCGTGTGTCTGTTTACAAAACTTCTACACCCTTGAAGATAGAAAGCTGAAATTTTGTACGTACATAAATCTTTACTAGAAACTTATTTCCGTAGAACAAAATTTTTACCTATCTCCCTCCCTCTAGAAGTTATACCCCCCAAAACCCTAAAAATGGCCTTTTTTAACTATTTGTTGCAAGGAAACCATAAGCATTTTTGAAATTTTGCAAACGCAGAAAGTCAGCGGCTTGCTTCCCCTAGCGGTATACTATAGTTAAACTTTAGAAAAACAAAATGGCCGTTCAAATTTACCGTTATCTAAAGTCCTTTTATTCCAAATTTTTGATTTCGTTTTTCTTCTAGACCCCAGCCTGTAGAAACTTGAAATTATGAGGGCTTTTAGACATTAACAAATAGTTCATTTTGTTAGAAGAACATTTTTTTCCATCTCCACCCCCTCTCAAGTTATCACCTCTTGAAATTCGTGAAATTTGAATTTTTGACACCTTATATTTCCGAAACCGCAAGCTTTTCCAAATTTTTATAAACGCAAAAAGCTAACGGTAAATTCCGTGAAATTAAAAAATATAATTATTTTTCTTAACTCACACAATTAACCCTTAAAATCGAGCATTCTGTTAAACTCTCTTTATATAAATTTTCCTTTATTTCAAACACTGCATAAATCGTTCATCCTAAATATATGCAATACTAGAAATAGTTTTGTACATGAATGAAAATAATTTTAATAGTGTGATAGGTATACATAGACTGTATTTAAAAGCAGAATTTTCACTTGTTCAAGGGAAAAGTGCTACAATACAAACCATTGGTTTGACTCAACTTTATTTACTATTAGTTAAAGTCCATTAGATTTCACTTAAATAATAGTCAAATTGAAGAATAAATTTATCATTCTTATACTTTAATATAATTTACGAAAATGTGGGAAATAAATTCACAACTCTTCGCGTTTGCAGAATTTTCAATTTGATTCGCAAATTGCAATTGTTTTAACAAACAAATTGGGAAAGAAATTGAATTTTAAAGACTCTATAAATAATATAACTTGAAGAATATAATGAAACTTAAAAGTTTTGATCCAGTTCGTTTGAAACAAGTTTATACATAATTAAAATCTATTCGCCCATAAAATCTCAGCATCTAAGTACGAGTATATTGGAAAACATAAAAAATCCGCGTCATAGGTACGCTAAGTTATCAAATTGTTATACTAAAATTATTCTTAAAATTTTTCAAATTTATTGATTATACTATGATTAATAAGTTATTAATGTGAGGTAGAAGTGGATAATTTCCTTTCAGATCATTATCGAATCCTGTTCTAATGAAAAAAATATCAAAAATCTATTAAATACATATAGTAATCGTATCATCATAATCGTATATTGTTAAGTGAATCTTGTAAAGGGGGAATTTTGAATACAAGATGAAAAAGCTTCTAGAAAGCTTTTAAAAGTCAAAAAGTCATACTACTCACCAAACTAAATAAAAAGTTTACAGTGGTATAATAAATTGTCTTTTGATTACACTATTTAGTTATTAATGTCGTATTTATAAGACGCACGTTAATTCGGTGGTTAAAAGCAACAACTTTCTATATAAGTTTAATTTGATAATTCTTAATTTAATTAGAAATTCACGATTATCGTACTTTAATCTTTTCTTTATCAAAACTTGCTTCGTATAAGTAGATACTCGAATTAATTCAGAAGTTACGGGCGAAAGTATAAAAAGTAGAGATTCTTTTCAAAAACAATTTTAAACGATTCAAGTCGACAATTTTTAGATCCAGAAATCAATTTCATATTATGTAATTAATATTTTTCTCTTATAAAAACATGACCTATGTTACTCACATATTATTCAAGTTTTGCATAAAAATATAAAGAGCGGCTTTAATCTTGTTATAAAATCTAAATTTTAAGTTTTAAATAATTTTTTTTTTAACTTAAATAGTATCGCTTATGACCACCGAATTATTAAAAACTTATATACATATATTAATAAGATAATGCTCACCTAATTCACCAGGAAATTCCTGTTGTGCTTCAAGTACTAATCTTTCAGTCCACCATAGATCATTTGAACTATTATTATTTGTATTATTATTGCTATTACTATTACTATTATTATTACTATTACTGTTATTACAATTACTATTAGAACTATTATTATTACTACTATTATTATTATTATTATTATTATTACTATTTATAGGTGAATTACTGTTACTATTATTATTATTAAGATTATTTGTAATTGGGGGTGGTTGTGATTGTTGTTCAACCAAACCAACAACCCCCTTATATGATATTAAACCAGTAGAACCGGTAGTTGTTTGATGTGTTGGACTCCAATCAGTATTATGTAAAGTTAATATACCAGCTGATGCAGCTGTACCAGTAGCTGTTGAACCAGTATACACTGCCGTTGTTGTACCACTTGGCAGATGCATTCGTGATATAGAATGTTTTGGAGCTATTTTGACGGTTTATTAAAAATTTCTTTTATTTATTTTATATTTGTTTTTTTTTTGTTGGTTTTTTTATCACTTTTTATTATTATTATTAATTTATTTTATTTATTTAATAAACGTTTATCATTATTAAGTATACACATATATTATGTATGTTTGTGTATGTATAATTATAGTATTAATTGAAAAGCTTGTTTTTTAAGAAGCTTTTATTATAATTAGCACTAATCTATTTCTATGTATATAGAAAATTTTTATTAATATAAAATGTATGAGATTAAAATAAACTTTACTTAGATATTTTTATAATATTTTTTTTTTTACGTTATTCAAATAAATTTTTGGATTTTCCCAAAGACTTTGAAATTGTTGTTAGTATATAAAGTAATTTTAAAAAATGAGAAATAAAAAAAAAAGGTAATTTAAATACGTGTTAATAAATTTATTGAAAAAGTGACGGCCAGTTAAAGAAAAAATCCGAAGATGTTATTAGTCATCATAACAATGAAAAGTATACATAAATTGACTGATATACAACGTTTACTGTTTAATTACATATGCATATGAAAAGTAAGCATATTATTTAATAGTAGTATAAAAGTTCCGAATTTTTAACAGACGTGAACAAATTGTTAATGTGTAGATAACTTCCGAACAATCATAGTAATAAAAATAAAATTTAAATTTTTTATTGAACAAAGTTACTTTGAATTACAATAGTATAGGCAATGTGGCACCTTCATTAAATATTAATTATTGCATAAAGAATTTCTGGTTTATTCTATTTAGTATTACAGTATAGAGCACTTATTATACATAAAATTCATTAAATGACGAAAAACAGACCGGGTCAATGAATTTTTTATTTACATAATTATTTTATGTGTATATGAGGTTTCAGCTACTTGTTCAATCACGTACTTAAAATGATAAATAAATAATAATATGATAATTTTGAATTCGTTTGTTGTGATTATCCTAATATGTGTTTATTTTTCTAAAAATTGATTGTGTTTTTAAAGTCATATAATATGTATGCATTTCCAAAAATACTTCATTAGTTATGTATAACTGGTTTGACAAGTTAAATAGTACGGTAAGTTTAAACTTAATATTTTGGATGCCAGTTACATTAGACTTTATCAGATTTTGCCTTAGATTGAATCTACACGATTTAATTTATTAGAAAATTTAGTGATTATCGGATATATTTCTATTTTTTCCAACATATTAAATCTCATGGCAGAATGCAATAACGCAACGTCATTGGATTAAGATTTAATGTGTGACTGGCTTTGAATAATAACATCAAAAATTTTATGGATTTAGTTCAATTGAATTTAATCGTTGGTATGATTAAAAATTTTTAAGTTGGTAAGAATAAACAATAAATATCTACCTCAATTTTGAATGTAAATAAATAATCATATTATGTACAATAGGTTCAGTACTGTCTCGGTAGCGAAACTTATGTATACATTGCGAAAGAAACGACTTACATTTTATGATGTTCAATAAATAATGATTAATCTGTAGATCAAAAGATACCTTATTTTTTTATTTGTTATTGTCACAAATGGAATGAGAAGTAATAAGTTGGAATATAGTATTTCATATTGCTATAAATTTGTATCTGCAAATTTAAATTTTAAATACATTAAAATAATTTTTTCAAGTCAAAACTAATTTAAAAGCATTTTTTGAGTCAACAATGCATAAATGTGTTTGAATAAAGATAAGAAACTTTTAAAGTTTACCCTTTTGGGTGCTTTTACTTTTATAATTAAAGCTCATTAACTATTTGGAGGTTACAAGAGACATAAGCTGGTGGTTATTCTACTTTTGTGCTCCGTGTCTGCATAACATAATAAGAAATCTTGAATCATCATTGGTGTTGTTTATCTTTAATCTTAAACCAATATTTTTATGATTATATTCTTTTATCGACATTGACATTGAAAGCAGTCTCTGGTTTAACTTTCCAAATTTCCAATTTATGTTGCAATAGATTTGTTTTTTACATATTATTTCCATATTGTTGCATATGCAACGTTTAGTATTTTCGTTTTCTCTTCACCTGATCGTCATTATACTGTTATGGAAATTTCAAGAAGCATGATATAAGTATAATATTAAAATATAAAATTTCTTTAATCTTATATTCATTTATGAAAATGCGATGCAATTATGCAGATTCGATTTTCGAATAAAATGTGTAGCAAAATTGAAGAGAATATTGGATAATACTGGAGTTAAATTATAATACGAAACAAGTTTATCTGAAAGCATAAAAAGTGTTATAATTATTGACCAAAATTTTACTCTGCAAAAATCTCTTATCTCTTGATTAACGAGTTTAAGTATATTAGTTTTAATGCAATAATTTGGTCATGAGATGAACAATATGCAAAAAAAGGAACTAAAAAATGTTATAATGCCAAACTTATAATATAAACAAGCATACCAAATTTTTGCAAATTATTTTATAAGCTGCTAATTAATTAATTTTTATATAATTTTAATTGTTTATAGTCTCAAGTTGTTATACAACTTACATAATAACTGACCAATTCTGGGAATTTACCATATTTTTAAGCGTAAGATATTTTTTAATTTATAATAGTTTTTAATTTAACCACAATTTGCGTCAAATCAAAAAAAGAAGACAAAATAAAAGAAAGCAGGTTAATAGTTTAGCCAAAAGAATTTTCTATACAAAACAAAATATAAGTCAAGTGTTATGCTTGGAGATCCACTTCTTCTGATTATATAACAATATTCAAATTAAAAATTAATGCTTTTTGAAATTGAGGTCTTGTTTTGTTATTTTGTTGCATTCACCTTTTGTTTTGTTTCTTTGGGAGTTACGTAGTTGTTACTCTGTTACTATAACAGCTTAATATGTAATAACTTAGATGAATAATTTGTGTATTTTTTTAATATTATATAGATTCCAAAATTAAAATGACTCATTCGTAATTCATTACCGACCTACATTATATGATTTCTTTGGCATTAGAGTGTGATTTGCATATAACTATTCCAATAATATTATTATATTTTAAATGAAAGCTATGAATTTTACATTAATAATTATGTTTTATTTAAATTTTGGAGTATGGTAAACCCTATAGGGTTGGTAATATGAACTGATAAGAAAATATAAATAATTGAAGTGAATAAAATTTTCCCGACGGAAGAAATGTAAATAAAAATTTGAAATTTATAAATAGAATGAAAGTAGTATATATGTAATTTATTTTTTTTAATTTAGTTTTTTAACTAAAAATCGGTTTTACATTTTACCTTAAATATATATTTAGCAATATTCATAAATTTATTATTTGTGTAGTCGATAGTTTCCCAACTCGTTTGTATATTTTCAAAGTGTTCTTTAATTTAACATTCTGAAGCTTTGTTAAGTATTAAAAAATATTGCACTGTATTTGAATATTATTAGTTAATAATGAAGCTGTGCACATTTAGCTTTTTTTGTGATATAAATTTGATATTATATGAAAAATACAAAGCAGTGGACTTTATTTCAATTGCCTAATTTATAGCATAACATGTTATTACTTTTTTAACATTAAAATATCTAAGCATATAGAAAATAAAAGACTTTAATGCCTAAAAAAACTTTACTTTGATCAATTCTATATTAAGAAATAAACAAGGAAATTTCTTGAACATTTTACAATTTCGGACCAAATTTGCGATTAATAAGTTAAATTAAACTTTTTCAAAAGTGTTAATCAATAAATTTAGTTCTTCTTTAAACTCATTCAGAATTAATTTTCATTATAGCACTTATATTAAGAATAAACAAAGTGTCCCAAAATGCACGCAAGAAATTATTTTGATAGAAAACACAAGCATAACAAATTGGCGAATAATGAACAACAAACTCAAATCAAATTTAAACTAATAAGAAGGCGAGTTATTACTTTTAAATGAAATATAAATTACCACTTTAAATTAAATTACTCAAAATACTACAAAATTTAAAAAAAAAATATTTAGAAAAAACAAAAGATTCCTAATGAAAACTTGAATTTGTTTTTCTTCTATTTTCTTTTCTTAACATAATAATTTATTCACGTCTGTATTAAATTTTATATTTTCAAAATATTGTAGATATTAATTTAATTAAATTCACTTTATTATTAATTTATCGTGTATATTTTTATTTAAATTAATATTTTATTTAACATTTATTATTGAAATACTATTAAAAAATGTTGTTGCCGGGAATGATGTTGAATATTCCAGGAAAAAAAAAACAAAACTGCTAAGTTAGAGTTTTACGTTTACAATATTATTAATTCACAATATGAATTTAAAATTTTAAAATTAAACAAGTATTTTTAAAATATCCATGTAAGTATTCCAATTTAAGCACACTATTAAAAATTCTTGTTTTCATTCAATTTCATTCATTCATAAAAGTAGAGACAGAATCATTAAATATTCTTTAAAAAAAAACAAATTAAATTTAATAATAGAAAACACGTTTTAATGTTAAAAATTTCTTTTAAATATTTTTGATGACGTCACATTGGACTTCTTTGAATCGCGTTATTAATTTCTTTCATATTGATATTTTTATCATTGTTGTTATTGTTATGATTTTTTGTTTATTTATATTATTTTTTTCCACTCTGTTTTATTTACATTTAATATATATGTATATACATATGTGCTTCTTTTTGTAGTTATGTATATAAAAAGCTTTATTTAAGATGAGCACCTGTTCAGTATTCTTTAATAATAAAAATCAAACCAAATAAAACAACAACAAAAAAATCATAAGAAAAACATTTAATCGGTTAACCGCTGAACAAAATAAACGAAATGTTTTATTTCTTCTTCTTTTTTCTTAAATTAATTTTAAATCAACAGGAAACACCGATTATAATAATTAAAATGCGCCAAAAATTAAAAAAATTAATAAAAATTTATTTGGATAAAAAAATTTTATCCATACAAAACAAGAAACAAAAATATTTTATTCAATTCTCATTTAAAATCTAAAAAAAAAAAAACAATTTCGTTAACATTTTTCTTCAACGAATCTAACAGATAAAAATTACGTGTTGACGTCTTCCGAACTTAAAACAAACTAAACTTTTTAATATTCCAATAAAATAAAAATCAAAAACAAAAAGAAAAAAATCAAATCTTATACTACTATGTAGTAGATTTTGC